GTAAGATGTTTAAAAAAATGTTTTTAAAGGTATAAAGCTCTACGCCTTTTTTACTATATTTATACTGTAAGGCTTAAGCAGATTTCTATAATGCCATTTTCATATTTAAAAGTGGCATTATGGAAGAGTTAAAATATTTTTTTACAACCAAGTGCCCCACTTTCCATGACCATGGTTAAGCCATATGAATATCAATGGTAATATTGAACTACATTATTATTGAACCATGTTTTTCATGATAACTAAAGGTACTAATTTTCATTTCTTCTCCTCCTTCACTTTTACATATTAGTTTTACATTTTCTATATTAAAACCAACAATATTATTATTTTCAACTAATTGTGATTTTACACCATGTGTAGTTCTTTACACCATATGTTGGTTCACAGTTTATAGCAACACATTAACACACAAACTTTTGAGTTATAATAACTCTAAACCTCTTTAAATTTTTTTAATAAACATTGAACCCTTATGAATTCTTCATTTTTTAATAAACATTGAACCCTTATGAATTCTTCATTTTTTAATAAACATTGAACCCTTATGAATTCTTCATTTTTTAATAAACATTGAACCCTTATGAGTTCTTCATTTTTTAATAAACATTGAACCCTTATGAATTCTTCATTTTTTAATAAACATTGAACCCTTATGAATTCTTCATTTTTTAATAAACATTGAACCCTTATGAATTCTTCATTTTTTAATAAACATTGAACCCTTATGAATTCTTCATTTGTCAACATTTAAATAACTAAAACTTGCACCATAGTATAAAGTATCAACACCATCAACATTTTTAAAACTTGTAAATACACCATAGTATAAAGTATCAACACCATCAACATTTTTAAAACTTGTAAATACACCATAGTATAAAGTATCAACACCATCAACATTTTTAAAACTTGTAAATACACCATAGTATAAAGTATCAACACCATCAACATTTTTAAAACTTGTAAATACACCATAGTATAAAGTATCAACACCATCAACATTTTTAAAACTTGTAAATACACCATAGTATAAAGTATCAACACCATCAACATTTTTAAAAATTAATTTATAAAGTATCAACAGCATCAACATTTTTTTATGTTATGAAGAAAGTTATTAAGAACAACAACAACAGCAACAAAAACAACAAGATATTTGTTTTCCTCAAAATTTACAATCATCTAATTACAATAATATATTGATAATAATAATATTAATAATAGGGTCAAATCATATTTCAACCAATGGCCTGTGAGGCACCATCTCTGATTTCCCTGATTTTTACATATCATTATCTACATTATGTAGATAGGTTAAATTTGAAATTTCAGACTTCCAAGGGCAACGGTTCAGAAAATATAGCTCCATAAACACTGCGCAGTGGCCCCCCTCGATTTAAGAATTGTAAAAACAGACTACTTTAAAGCCTCATAACTTTTTTCTAACTTTCAACAAGTGTCTCATTTTTTCTAGAAGTGTTCTCTGGGTAGTTCTGTATTAAAAATACTGGTTTTTGTTGACTTGTATGATATAAGAAAAAAATTATAGCCTCCTCAACATCGAAAAAATTTTGAAAAATGCTAAAAAAGGCCAAAATGAAATTAACTGTAGTACTTTTCTATTCTGCAACAAGTCCCTACAGTTTTGTTTTCTGATTAGCTAATCTTATCTACAACAAACAGGCAAAAAATAAGCCGCTTGTTGCAGTTTAGAACTGAAATACATCTAAAAATGTATTGTCCATTTGCCAAAAAAGTCCCATTTTTCAGCCATTTTAAAATGCTCGTAATTTTTTCTAACACTTTGTATTGATCTAAGCTTAACAGCAATAAAGGCCATAAGATCCAAATATCTGAAAATGCAATCATTTTTTACTTGTCTCATTCACATCAAAAATGGCAGCATTTTAAAATAGCCCTACTTTTTAATTAGTTAGGGTTGAATGCATTATTAGAAACCAGTTCCCCCCAACCTGCCTTATAGCATATTCAATGGGTGCAACTGATTATAAATTGTTTCTTAAAAAAAATAAAAGATATGGTTGATTGCCCCCTATGCTGATCTATTTTTTAACCTGGGTAGGGGCACAAATAAAGGGGCAATAATTAGTTAAAACCCAGTATTATTGTTACATAGTGATACTTTAAATATTGTTTACACAATTAAGGAGTGTTTTATCTCAAAGTCAAAGACCTATGATTTTTTACAAAATAATGTTGAACATTTTTTAATAAGACTTTCATAATATATCAAGGGAATATTCATGATACATCAGGGTGCTTAAAAAATATAATAACTTCTATAAAAGAAAGAAATAATGATCAATAAAGGAAAAAGTCGAAGCTTGTTAGAAACCACTTTTATTATAAGGTTTGGTTTTTACTTTTTAATTGATAATTAGTTGCTAATTCAAAACAATTAATGCAGTATAATTTATTTAATCTTGTTTTTTAATAAATAGGAGTAAAATCCTCTTGTGTTTTGGAGCTCAGGCTCATGTAATGTGGCAATGTCATTAACTGGATACCAATGGATATCTGGTGTTTTTGGATATTTGAAATAATTGCCAGCTTCATGTAAACAGCTGACAGATATGTAGTCATCTTTAACATCTATCACCTTTCCAGGAACATTCTCAAATCGTTTAGCAAGAACTTCATGAGTGTTAACAGCTGTTTCGTTTTGAGAAATATAGAGAAATCTAAGAATAAATATTAACATAAATCTTATAATCCAAGAACATAATTTTAAAAATATATTTAGTAAGCTCTTATTTTAAAGTACCATTTTCTTTATAATTTTCCCTATAAAAAAACTTATACCAAAAAGTTCAAAATTTGTTTTATTAGGATTGGCATCCATTACTTGAAAAAAAAAATCATAACCAAAATCTATGTGCATTTAGACAACAAAGTGCTATACCTGATGTTTTTAAAACTTTCTTTAGCAACTAAAAACATGTCCTTTAGTGTCAAAATTTGATTTCCAATTGCCTTTGGAGGGACAGGTTGTTAATTACTCTTTTCACTGTACCACCTACTCTGTCACATGCACTTTTTCCATGTGCAGTGCCAAAAAAATGCTAATCTGCTTTCAGTCCGAAGTCTTTTTTATGAAAGCAAAGTTTTTTCAAATTAAACCTATAATAAATTAAGAAAAATTATATTCATAAAGTGAAATCAATAAATTTAATAAAAAAACAATATCCTAATTATTCTATAGCAAATTTGAAAAATATCATTCCAATAGCTGAACTTGGTTTGTTTAGAATTGGTTAATCAGAATTTTTTAAATGACGTAAACTAAAAATTAACCTACCTATTTTTATACTGGCTGCCTGCACCATCAGTGAAATAATGAATCTTTTGAATATTTGGATATTCTTCTTTCAGAATAAATACAAATTTTGAAACATTAGTAAAGACTGCCTCAGTATTGTGAATCAGATTGTCTGATATAATGCAATAACATTTGCTTTCTAGGGTCAGGTTTCCATTTAAAGATCTCATATATATAATAAATGGATGAAGAGTTGCCTGATTTTTAGAAAAATATGATGCCTGAATTTCATCCTGTATGATAAATGAAAAATTTTCAGCAAAATCCATTTGTATAATACATTCATTTGCTTTCAGGTTTTCTTTTAACTGCTTTAAAAAGTATGTCTGAGATTTGCTGACATAATGATGTTTTGTGAGTTCATATAAGTTGTTTGTTAACACTTCAAGAAACTCGTCAAGGTTTTTAACTATTGTTTCTAAGGAGTATCTATCAGTTTTCAACCATTGTTTATAAGTTATTTCATTTGCTGAATCGCCAACCAGATCATTTAACTTTATTTCAATTCTTTCTTTTCCGGGACAGTTTTTATACTTGTGAAACATACATTCTTTATTTTCTAATGAGCATACAGCTAAGGCCATCAGTTCTTTTAACTTTAATTCATTTTTAAATGCTTTTACCATTAGATTTGGATTTTGATGGTGGATACAAACACAGACGGTATGGGTGCCAGATTTTCCAGCAAGTACACAGTGTTTTGGCCTTAAAAGAGCAAATGATGTTAATCCCACCTTAACTATATCATTAGAATTTGATTCTTCTATCCATTTTTGGTATAGTTCTGAAAGATTACATAATATGAGTCTCTTCTGAATGTGTGAATTCTGCCTTAAACTGTTTTTATGCTAATATAATCCTTTGCACCTGGCAATAATCTGCTATTACTATCATCTTCATAAAAGTTGACAATTTGATTTATAACTTCGGAAGTCAATTTTTTTGGATTTCTTATGTCAGTTGATCTTTCACCAAGGATTCCTTTATTGTCCTGCAAAGCTCTTGCTTGCTTTACCATATATTGTATTGTTTTAAATTCATTTATTGTTTCCTGAATGGTCCAATGGACAGGAACTAAGTTAAGTAATTTTATTTTCTTTGAAATACTATTCTCATTATGAAACTTTTGTTTTAGCTGTTCTACTAGATAATCTAAAGAGGAGATTTTAAGCGTAGCAATTTGTGACACTTCTTCTTCAAATGAATTCAAAGACTCATTTAACACCTTAACTTTTTTTTAAATTTTATTGTCATTTTGTAACATGCTCATGCTTAATGATCTTTTAATTGGCAACAAACCAAATTTTATAAGACAAGGATTTAGGTTATCAACTTGTAAAACAGAGTTATCAGGTAATACATAATCTGGATCTTTTCTCTCCCCAACTGCTTCAACATTCTTGAGTTTTCTAACGCAACTAAAACATATTTTTTTCCCAGGAATTAAAGCAGAGTTCAGTTGATTATGCTCCAAAGTGACAGTTGTCAGATTTCCTTTAACAATCTTTGAATGAACTAAGAAAGGGTCACAGCATGACTTATGAAATGTTGGATAGTATTTAATAAATTGTAGACTATGATGAGTACAAATTGTATGCAGCCTATTGTTTTTTATTCCAGTTCTTAAGGTCAGCAAGTATTTTTCCTCATTTAACAT